TTGCAGCAGCTACAAAGAAGCTCGAAGTCGGTACGAGGCATCAGAGACCGAGCTGCAGGTAGCACGCCGATAAACAGACACGGCATGGAGGTTCTATGATGAGATTGTGCACGGTGGACAGACGAACCTCGAAGGGGAACATGAGATTGTAGACAGGCTCGGAGGCCTGTCCATGGTTGGCAAGGAGAAAGGTGCAGAAGTTGGCCGCACTTCTAGTGCGCTTGGGCAGCCGTCTTCATGTCCTTCTAGCGAGGACATGACTGCACATTTGTCGGAGATGGAAGGAGAGATGGCGAAACTGCAGATGACGAACGAAGTGTTGATGATGCCTCCGTCTTTCTGGGAAGAATTGGAACAGGACATGCTGTGTTTCGTTCCGCCTCTGAAGTTTCCACCACCACTGAACTCGTCCTCTCTGCACAGTCGTCGAAGCGCACTTTTGTAAGGAGAGAGAGAGAGAGAGAGAGAGAGAGAGAGAGAGAGAGAGAGAGAGAGAGAGAGAGAGAGAGAGAGAGAGAGAGATGTCATTATGGTTTAGTGCATGGTGACGACCGTCGTTGCTTTTTTATCCCATTTTGCCTTCGCATGTGTGTGTGATCATGCATTCCTTTCTTTCTTTCTTTCACTTTGGAGTACAGCTATCGACATCGTTGTATGCGTTTTTCTCACGGATGAAAAAAAAGACGTGGTTGTTGTGTTTCTCATTCACAATCAGTACAAGGGTTTTTTGTACTTGGAAAGGCATGCCCGTATTCCCAACTTCGAATGTTTGTAGACGACAGTAATCCCGACTGCGTGTGATCGGATTTAGTTGCACACTCTTCAGTTAACATTGTTCGAAGTCCCTCCTCCCTTTTTTTTTTTTTTCCTTTTGTCTTTGTCATGGCGGATGCATGGAAGGATAGCTCTCCGGATCAAGATGCGAGAATGAAGCAGATGATCGGATGTGGCATGAGTTCGCTTTTTTTTTTAATATCAGTTTGTTGTTTTTTTATCATGGCAAGTGAAACGGGAAGGAATAAGCTTCGTCCACGTAGAACCGCATTGTTGTCCGTGGTTGGACGCATCTTTCACCCCTCAGCTACCTTTCTCTTCTCACTTTCGCAAGTGTAATGCCTCCACATGGATAAAGATATCCTTTGCCATGCGCTACAAGGTGGCAAACAAACTTTTTGTTTTTTTTCTTGGGCCTACCTCCACTTTCGCAACTCACGTCTACAAATCAGTGCCGACTTTGGACAATAAATCTAATGCCACTTTGAGGACTTTACACAACGCCGACAGCTCACCCAAAGGCTGAACTCTTTCGGGTGAGGGTGATGCAGGAGGACCAGCAATGGATAGCCTTCAGACCAGCCACCTCGATCCAACATTTTCCCTTGGATCCGATGGAATGGACATAGACAACCCAATCAAAAAAGGGAAGAAACAGACCCAAATCCCTACATGGATTAACAGTGAAAGCAACATACAGGCTCCTTAGACCAAAAACCAACCTCTTTGATCAGGTTGCAGATCGATGGAGATCCCACCTAAAGATCAGTCAAGACGACATCAGATCAATAAAATGGTTTCGGCTGGCTAAGGTAAAGCCTGCTAAAATAGCATCGCTTCAATGGCAGTTGGAGCATCGCTGCCTGCCAACGAACAATTGGCTGATAGAGCGAACCACGCTGGAACAAAGGGGGCTGGCCCTCCCCTGGTGCAAGCTGTGCATGAACGCCTTCCCGGCCCGGAAACACCCCGAAACAATTGAACATATATTTCTACAATGCCCGGACGCGCTATGGTTGTGGAGATGGTGGGACCGAATATGGGACCAACTAGAGACATGCACACCCTGGCCCTGGGACTGGAAGGCGCTGTTATGCGAAGCCTGGCCCAGTAGACAAACAGAGCATCACCCTGATGAATTTACTATTAACCTGTTTAAGCTAGGACGAAGGGCGGTCATCTGGGCACTGTGGAGACGGCGTTGCACCTTCGAGATGGAAGGGGTGCGACTTGAAGGGCCGGAATTCACCGACAGTGTGATTCAGCAGATCCAAACAGGAATACTGTCTAAATGGGAAGTAGTCAGAACTCATATTAGGCAACTACAAACACAGAAGGACATCACCCAAAAAATACAAGATTTCAACACAAGCTGGCTGGGCGGACCGAATGGAGGGAGACTCGGGAAGGCGGAGTGGAAAGGAGAGTCAAGGGAGACAGGCGAGGGTCAACAGGGAGCAGGGACACCGACAGACTTAAAGCTGACCTTTTATGAGTGGGCCACGATAGGTGCAGAGATTCCCCTCAAGCCTCCCGGAGACTTCCCTGATCCCTTTCCCCCCCCTTCCAACTGTCTAGTAGGAATGCAATGGTACGGTCAGTAGAAGGTCATGAACCGAAGAAAAAGTAGAATAGCACCGTACTACACCCCATTAAACACCCCATCCCTGCTCTAGTATGGCACATCGAACTGGCAGCAAAATAGCTGCGAGGAGTAGGGCTGAGGTTACTAGGGTAGTCAATGCTGGCAGCCAACATCTCATTGGTTTCACTTTCTGAATTTTCTTGGTTTTCCTGAACTTTCTGAATTCTAGTAAAGGGAGTGGGGAGCCAGTGCGCAATAGTTAGGATCTGGCGCCGTAATCAGGGTGAAGAGGCTCCTCCCCTGCTCAGTTAATCCCCTGCTCTTCAGGGCAATCAATGCTGGCAGGATCTGTCCTAAATTTGTGTTGATAAATTCTCAGCTGTATCACATCTATAAGGGACGCTGGACCCGTTTTCCAGCAGGTGCTGCTTCCCACCAATAGATGGAGCCTATCCCCAGGTGCTAACGGCGTCTGATCTTATCAGCGTCGTTAGCACTGAAGGGATTGTTTCTTGTAAAAAAAAA